AGTAGTAGTAGTAGTAGTAGTAGTAGTAGTAGTAGTAGTAGTAGTAGTAGTAGTAGTAGTAGTAGACTCGCGCAGCATCTGCCGCACTCTCCTTCTCGCCTACCTTGATTCGGTGTCCAGACATACTCAAGAAGACCGAGTCAGTGGTTGATACATCTGCAGGTTTCTATGTCGCTGTTAGTCACTGTCTACTTGGTACAGGACACTTCCTGGCGCTCCCGATCCCACTCAGTAGTGCTCAGTCTTCACGCTATTCTACGCCTGCATGATCTGGTCCTCCGTGAGGAGGGCTTTTAATGCAACGCCTGGGTTCTCCCATTCTGGGTTGTGTGTGAAAAGTTTACCCAGGTACAGTTTTTCCACTTGCTCCCTGATGGACTGACTTCAACGCGGTCCTCATGGCGGCACATCTCTACGCCGTTTCCTTTCCTGCGCCTGCTGTCTTGTCTACCTCCTTTACCGCTCGGAATATCCGCCTCATCACTCTAGATCTCCCCTCGACTGACAGTTTTGTCTCATTCTAAACGGTAGAGTCTCGGGTTCGGACACGTTCAGTCATTCCAAACCTAGCTTCCGTCACAGTAACTGTTAAAGTATAGCCATCCCTCATTGGCTGTTTCCCTCTGGCCAATAGGAGCGCTGACAGCGTAACATTGCATCCCTGCATCACTTGTTGCCCCAAATCCCCCTCCCCCTCGAACTCACTTTATTCCCACTCCGTCTCTCCTTTTTGTCTCATAACAGTTGCAGCAGGAACGAATTGTGGAGGAAGCGACCTCCGCGCGTCTGCAGAGTCTCACTGCCCAGGTGGCAGAACTCTCACGTGATCTGGTCGCCGCTCGAGAACTCTGCTCCCAGTTGGAGAAGAAACGAGAGGCCAGCGAACGGGAGACCGCAAAGTTCGCTGGCGAGGCGGAGACGGCTCACTGTCAGATCTCCGCTCTCAGACAAGAACTTGACAGCCTACGTTTCGAGGTTCGTGCTTTGGCCAGTGAACACAGCCCCTCTCTATCTGCATCATTTTTTTTGGTTATCCGGAGTATACGGCGTTTGCTCCCCTCCTCGTGGTCTTCTGTAACACTCATGCAGCATTTTGGCGGTTAGGAGAAGGGACGATGTCATGACCGTTTCTGACTCAAATATGGTAATCCGTCAGCCATACTCGAGACCCCGGGAAGCGAGAATTGAGCGCGAACGTTAAGTTCGGCGCACCACATCAACCTGGGTCCTCTCTGCCTGGGGCTTGAAGCCTGCTAACGGCCGCAAATAACCCCCAAATGACCTTTATAGTCACCCTTGCAATTGGCTCCGGACCTTTTTCAACTATCATTGTGCAATAACTCCCAAGGACTTTAGGTCGCAGCTACCAGGCAACACCGAACGCCCGTATTCCACTCTGCGATCAAACCACATCGGTTGCCATAATCCCCACATGCGCGTGTGACTGCTGCCCTCTCGCAGTTCTGGCACAGGCTGTGTCGTCAAAATTGGAAGAACCTCCTGTGTGGAAGAACTACGAGATTCTACTGGTTTCCGTGGGTTACCGAGTCAGAGCTAGGAAGTGTTGCG